TTCAAGACCAATGTGGTCTACATAAACAAGTTCCAAGAAAACTAGAACTGTTGTACAGAGAAACCATGTTTGAAAAACTAAACCAAAAAAAAAAAAAAAAAAAAAAAGAAGAAGAAGAAGACAAAAAGAGTTGAGACTGAATACTAATATTCCAGTTATTGTGGGATTATGAAAAAAAGTATTTATGAGGATTATATTATTCCTCTTAAACATATGTAGGGTCTTATAAAAGTTTCTATCAATAAGATGCTGTGGGTATATTATATTGCTTCTGAATGAGCTGAAACCCTTAGGGAATTCCGAGTTTGCCACTAGCTAAAACAAGTTCCAAAAAACAACTATGTGTCAACTTACACCCTTCTGCAGAAGCAGAAATAACGATGCCTTAAACAAAATGAGAATAATGTAAAGCCTTGTTAATGAAGTAAATGTACATGTACCAATTTGATTAGCATTTTGTTCAGGTTTTGCTATATGTGGTGTTGAATTAGTGATAATTAATAAATTACAGTAATTATGACTCAAATAATAATAGATATACCACTAAATATAACATATAATTCTCATATTAATTATATTAATAAATTTAAAACATTTAATTAATGTTTGGATCATTCCTTAAAAGAAACCAAGAAAAATAATAGTTAACTGATTATAAGCAAAATATGAAAAGTAAACAGTTATTAAACTGTCATATTTGATACCATGTATTTGAGGAGTTTCTCCTACCATGAGAAAACATGGATAATATTAGTAGTATGTTGGACTGCATTTATTTTTAATTGAGCTCAGAAAAAAAATAAATACTCTGTGTTTAGGAAGAGTATCAGAGATTCCAGAAACATGGAGCTCTTCTTGTTTTGGAAGAACTTATTTTTTTTCCCTCAAAATCAAGTACTGTTTGATTATCAGAGGTAAGATAAAACTTAACCAAATGGATACAATCATCTCCATAATGTCGCTAGCAAACCCATATTGAAAATGATTGAATTAAATTTACAGATAATGATCCAGCTATAAGTGACTGTAGCCAAAGATAGTGAGTTGGCAGCTGACACACAAAGCTAAAAGGAATCAAATGAAAACACTGAACTCTCTCTCTGTAGACCAGGCTGGACTGGAACTCAAAGAGATCCACCTGCCTCTGCCTCCCGAGTACTGGAATTAAAGGTGTGTGCCACCAGTGCCAGCCATTACACTGCACTTGTTAAAGATTGACACTTCAGGAAGAAAACTGCCAGAATAGTCAGTTCCTGCATATGCACTTAAGTAAATTAAAATAAAGTTCAAACTCTTGATCAGAACCTCTGATCAAGGATGGTGGATATCAATAAGGTTTTTTTTTTTTTGTAATGGGCAATGATTAGAAACTATTTTGTAGGTCATCAGAAGATAAATTGACTTATTTTCAATGTACTATCTATTAAAGCTCTGCAATATCCCTCCAGTACCACCCAGGAACAGCAATAGCAATATAATAAGAAAATTTTTATTTTGCTATATTCATTATATGCTAATATTGTTCATTTTTAAATGCTTGATATAAATTATGCATTTATGCAGATCCACAACATATTTAAATTAAAAGGCCATTGTTTTACATAATAATTAATTATATTAGCCTTTCCCATTTGTTGCAATCAGCCAACAGGTTGAAATCAACAGTGAAAAAAAAAAAAACAAATATCCACCAGAAGTGTTGGAAATAACATGTAGATATGAGTTTGTAAGTTTTTATTATTATTATTTTTATTTATTTACTTATTTATCTTATTTTACATATCGATCCCAGTTCCCTTTCCCTCCTTCTCTCCTACCCTCTCATACCCCCCCCCAACCACCCTCCCATCCTATTTCCTCCCCCTACCCCACTCCACAGGGAGGGTGATGCCCTCCAGGAGGGGTCAACAAAATCTGTCAAGTCATTTGGAGTAGGGACTAGGCCCTCCCTCTTGCCTCTGGGTTAAGGGAGCATCCCTCCATGGGGAATGTGCTCCCAAAGTCCTTTTGTGCACCAGGGATCCATCCTGGTTCCACTGTCTGAGGTCTTCTTTTTAGACTGCCTGGATCTTCTTTTATTCCTCTCATACAGTATATCTCAAACACAGTTTGCTTTCCCTCTGCCCCTCCAAGTACACCCTGCACACCTCTCCTCTCCCCCATATCCACTCTCCCTTTATTTCCCTTCAGAAAAGAACAGGCCTCCCAGGGATATTAGTTGAACACAGCATAACAAGTTACAATAAGATGAGGCACAGATCTTATATCAGGTCTGGGGAAAGCAACCCAGAAGAAAGAAAAGAATTCCAACAGCAGGCAAAATTGTCAGATACACTCTCCACTCCCTCTATTGGGAGTTCTACAAAAACACCAAGCTAACAACCATGGCATATTTGCAGAAGACCTAGCTCTCTTTTAACTTTAATGCAGCACTTCTGAATCATTTTATATACTATAATTATCAGTAAAAAGAACAAATCAAAACTTCTCTCTTTCAGTTCTAAATAACTGCACTCACTGCCCTCAGTTCAACTGAACACTGCTTCATGATCTAATAAAATAACTACATCAATACCTCCCCCAGTGTGTAATATAAAATTGGTCACTAACAGCCGGGGGGTTTGATGTCCACAAGTGTCATACAAATAAGTAATTGTAGCTATATATAAATGGTAAGGATATTGACCAATGATTTCCTCAAAAAGGTTTCAAATTGTCAATAACATAGAAATATCCATCATAAATATTCATTTTTAGGTAAGACAAAATTATATATATACACTTTTTAAGAAACTATAATAATCTTCATGAAGCAACAATAAAAAATAAAATGTTCTTGAACTGTGGTCTAAAATTAAAACTCTCTTCCAAAAGTTTCTTTAGTTAGGACATTTTGTTACTGCAACAGGAAAACTAAGTAATACAAGAAAATAAGCAAACTGTACTATTTTGAATATAGCATATATAATATTACAGCCTACATGTTGCTGGATGGGGTTATGTGCTTTAAAATAAGAAGCAAGATTATGTAGATTTATAAGCAGATACCTGCTTCCCAAAACTTCAATCAAGCTGATTTATTTTCCTGCCATTATCTCTCTCTCCTTTTTAGAGTATATTTGTCTTTACGTAGGAGGCTTATAAAGGAAACTTGTTCCGACTTGAATGAACTTCCAGTGACTCTTGGCCAATGATTTCTCAAATGTGAGCATAATTCTGTAGCATTACTTACTTAAATTTTATGGAAGAACAACTTGCAAAATTTGAATTGTTGAGGTGTTTTGTCTTTTTTTTTTTTTTTAAGATAGAGTCTGTCTATGTAGCCCTTACCCTGAAAACTGCCATGTAGACTGGTCTTGAACTCAAAGAGATCTATCTTTCCTTAGAGCTGTTTGTAGCAATGACTTTACCAGAGGTCATAAGAGTATACAGCGGGTGACAACTAGTATTCACCAGATCAACCCACCAGATGAATGACAGTCTGACGGGGAGCCCCACCCTAACAGGCCATGGGGGGGGGGGGTGACCAGTTGCCTCTGTCTGTAATTTCTCTAATGTGTAATTTCTCACATTTCTTCCTTAATAGCAGCTTTGGGTGTATTCTCACTGCCTGTGTGTTTACTTCATGAAAATATTCTATATATTGAGCACATAGATATCTGTGGGTGATCTGGGAGATTATTTCTGCTTAACTGTATAATTTTGATGAATAGAAATAATACTAGGATATTTTATATTACTCAGACTGACAAAGGAAAGTAATAGTATTCTCAGTCACAAATACAGCTAATTTTAGACTTCAGAACAAATTCAAAGCAAACCAAGTGCCCTAGAGACAAATATCTGGTTGTCCCTAGAGACAAATGCATGAGGTCATTTTCCCAGGTCTTTGTTGCAGATTCAAGATCAGGCTTGAGGCAACTTTGGTAGACATAAAGTTCATGCAGTAATAGAGTTTCTACATGTACTCCCTATTACTCAAGGTCCAGCTAATGGTTATTTTCTGTCTGGTAACCCTCACCATCTTAGTGCTGTGTGTATGGCCAAGTGATACTCACTGGCCAGTCAAAGTGACATCCCTAGTCTGAGAAAAACCGTGTGACCTATCTTAAGTTATGAGAATAAGTTCGGCCCCAAAATGTAACACATATTTGTCCAGAGTTTGGTGGTGAAAGGAAGTAATGTAGAGTGAAGTGGGGACCGTATTAAGGCTATGCAGGAGAGGTATGTAGAGCTAATTAGAGAGAAGCTGCTGTGTAGCGCAATGAAGAGGTATTTAGATCTATGTAGAGATCTGCTATGTAAAGAGCTGGGAAAGGTGTGTGTGTGTGTGTGTCTGTGTGTGTGCGCGCGCGCGCACACGCGCGCACGTGTATGCGCACATCCCTCTAAGAGGGATGTAGCTAATTGAGCAGAGAAAGAAATGTGAGAGAAAGAAGTGTGTGTGTGCGTGTGTGTGTGTGCGTGTTGGGTGAAGAATGTGACTGTGTGAAAAGAGATGTATAGAGATGTATGGCTGTGCAGGAGACAGTATGTAAAAAAAAGATACGTAACATATGTAAATCTGTAGATATACTGTCAAGACAGAGAGACAGAGAGATTATTTAACACAAAGTAAAATAGAATGTTACCATCAGGCAAACTTGTGCTTGTACCTTTTCTCTTAAGTTACCATCAGAATGTACGTGTGTGTGTGTGTGTGTGTGTGTGTGTATGTGTGTGTGTACCCTGGAGGCCACCTTGGAATGGGATCTCCAAAAGGCCACCTTAACCTTCCCCCTCAGTGCTGGGATTAAAGTAGTTCTTGATTAAAGTAGCATACTATCACTTCTGCTTAGATTTAATTGAAATTAAGTCTTAAAATAACAATGTTATCTGAGCCTTAATCATTAATATGGACTGGCTAATAATAAAGTGTTTATGACAAAAGAAAAAAAGTTCTTGAACTACCTCCTCATAGATTTGTTGTTCTTTACAACAAAGTATGTTGTCTAGGTTCCTCATGTAGTTGGGATATTATGTACTTTCAGTCTACATCCCAGATGCTTCAGTACCAAAAGAGATGTCTGCTTTAATTTAGGGTTTCCTAAAATCAGGACTAATGAGTGAGCTGAAGGATTCATGAGTCCAGTTATGACACAAATATTGTAAACTGGTTCACTTTGATGTTTCTCAGCAATCCAGGCTATCAGAAGGGACAGAAAGTAAGTGGCATAGAGCAGGAGGAAAGAGACCATAATTTTCATGGCATTCATGTGTGCCTTGGTACTGGGGTCTTTGTGTCCTCTGGAACTGAGCTGCATCTTCTGCAGATGTTTCCACAAAGAGAAGATTAGCAGGAGATAGGATATCAAAGCCAATGAAAACGGTATTACAGAGAATAAAGTCATGTTAAATAAGATCAGCTCTGAAAACATAGCAAATCTCACACCCATAAAATTCACCGTTGTGTTTCCTCCATATTGATGGATCCTCTCTTCAAGAGTGATGCTTGTTTGCATCAGATTTGCAAGCAAGAAGGCCAAGCTTCCCAGCATCACCCCCACAATCAGTTTTTTAAGTCTCCATTTCCAGTAGAGGAAGATCTGCCAGGAGAAGTTAGCTATCCTGAATAAACAAAAGATGCCGAGGGCTGTGGAGAGCCAGAGACTGAAGTGGCTAGATAGTATACAGCATAACATAATTATTTTTAATTCTTCTCTGGTTATAAACGCAATTGATTGAGTTTTGACCCAAATATATAGTGTTTCCCAGATGAGAGTAATTCTGGAAATTGCCAAGGTAATGAGGATTTGGTCATTTGGGGAAAGCTCCCTTTTGTTGACCCAGTCTATGCAGTTTTTCAACACTATCAATCCATTGCTCAAATTCCCCAAAATGAACTCTGCAATAACTATGGTGGTACAGATGCTGTGCAGGACAGGTCCCATGCTCAAACAGAGAAAAGTCAAAATCAGATAGCGCTGCTCCTCTGGGCTGCTTAAATGCCGGGCGTGAGGTCCAATGCGCAGCTAAATTCTCCCTCCTCTTTGTCCTGCCCCTTCTCTAATCTCTGATTTTTAAGGCACGGCAGCCATCTCCCATTTGGCATTTACACACATTCTTGTTAAATATTTTTTCTGCAGTTCTCCGCTGAGTCCTGGCCGGCGTTTTTATATATCTGTCATGGGCTGAAATATTCAGCAGACGATTTAGAATGTGAGGACAACTCATATTTGTTGATATGCAAATCAAGAAAGATTCTTTCCCACTCTTTTGCATCTCTGGCCTTTTTCAAGATTAGAAAATTTGGTTGTACCACCTCAAGTTCTGAAGAATAAAGGTTAAAAAAGTCTGATTCAAAAACTAAGAAGTTTTAAAAAAAAAGTTTCATGCTCAGAAGAAAAGCGGAAAGCAGAATTCAAAAATACAGAGTGAAGTAAGATGATTTGAATTCGAAATTCATGTTAATAAAATACTTTACTGTTTTAACGTTGACTAATATATCATTATTTCTTCTAGAATTTCCATAATAAATTAGCAATTTCTGAATTGGAAAGCTTTGCATTTTCTTAATCACTCAAACTCTGCCACGTGGTATACAGAACACCTACACATCTACAATTAATTTTTAAAATTTGGTTTATAAGTTAAAGGAGTTATATTGTTTCCAGTGCCAGGGGACATAGTGCCTTTCTACATTCTCAATCTTATATATCAATGTCAATATCAAGGAAGTTCAAAGTCCAATACAAAAGGGAATGATGGAGTTTGGGAGACATAAATGGTTCTCCAACTAGCTGAGTAGGCAAGCTTCGGATGTCAGCAGCCTCGATGAGCAGGGTGACAGAAAGAGAAGGCATCAGTAAACAATGTGAGTAAAGTAATGGGGTATGAGTAAAGTAACTGGGATTTTCAAAGATATTTGCAACTGTCAAGTGCTAACATCTCAAAAAGCAATCCTCAAAATGCTTGCAAATGCTTAATTCAAACTGGATGGGGCAAGTATTTGGGAGCCTCAAATAGTCCCAAAACCTGACAAGCAAAATTAAGACAATAACAACACATTGCTAAATCATTTCAGCATTACTTTTTCTCACTCTATTTGGGGGGAAGGAATTCTAGATGTGGTTCTCCTAACCTTAGGTTGTCTGACTTAAAGGCCAAGGTAGGTGGTTATCTACTTCTCTAGTAGTCATCTTGCTTTCTAGGGTAGAAAGGACATAGGCACTGTAGAACCCTGTGAGCAAGTTGTCTGAGTGTGAAGCCTTTAAAAAGGTTTGAAAAGAACTAATCTCATTAAGAGGACAATTATTTTTCTTCCAATTTCCTAATCTCCTCTTCAGCTGTGTCACCTCTTCCCTTTTGGATTAGAGTGGTTTGCTTTAGGTTGTAAAATAGGTTGTAAAATGGGAGTTCCTGTTTAAGTCAGAATCTTCCCTTAAAGAAGGTCACAATCTTTGTATGGACATGAGACCCACGTAATGTAACCACCTATCAGTGATATTTGTGAAGTCTGGATCAACCACCCATGCCAGTCCAGCCAGAGTATGCTTCCATATTGATATTAATAACCCCCAAATGGTGTGTGGGAAGCAGAGAGTTGGGGAACCCCCTTTCTATCTCACTTGCCAACTCAAGACTGTCTTCATGATAGTTCTATATTCACCGAGGCAAAATACATGTTCTATAGTAATTTCTTTTACCTTAATATATTTACAACTTCTGATATACTCTAATGGATGTTATATATACTGTGTTGGAGCTTCTAATTTTAATCTCACTTGTCTGAAAATACTACTTTCTATCTTTTGATTCGAGGAGAAATGAGAGTTTTCTTGTATATCTAGGGGAAAAATGTAATGATATTCCCTAGACCTTAACAACACTCATGATCTTCACACATTGGTCACCTAAAGGGCAGCACAGACTTTACATGTCAGGAAATGTGACTGACACTACAGTTTGTCGCATAATAAGTGCTAAGAGTTATGGGATGAGGGGCTGCATTACAGTGTGAGCATTACAGAGAGTTCATTGCTCACAGTCCTGGAAGGATTTCATAGGTAAAAGCTGTGGGAAAATAAACCAGAGTAAATTAAAGTGGTTTCCTATAAACATGGAAACACAATCAATTACAGGGAGAAAATCACAAAAACCTTTCTCAGTGTCTGAAGGATAATGAAGAAGTGAATGGCATTGTATAAAAAATTTGACTATTTCCAACATTTTCCTTCCCTTGAACTGAAGATGTATGACAAGTGCTTTGTTTTTCTTACTCTCCTTCACTTAAGATTTACTTAGCAACCCAGTACATTCCAATATATTTCCCGAAATTTTATGTGATAATTTTATACAGAGAATAATTTGCGTGCACTGACAAACAAGTCAATTAAATGATAATAAACATGCCATTATGTTTGTGAGTGTGTGTGTGTGTGTGTTTGTAAAACATGTGTGTGTGTGTGTGTGTTTGTAAAACTAACAATTAAAGACTAAAATGTGAAAGGGACAAGAGGGCATGTGAGCTGGGGGGGGGAAGACAAGGAAGAAGTGATGTAATTATATTTTAATTTTAAAATATGTGTCAGCAGTGGCATTTCTACTCTATTGCCCCTATAGACAATCTAATATCTAATCTTGATCCTTTAACCTCAGGCTCTTAAGTGCTGACATTATAGGTATGTACCAATAAGCCTAGCTACATTTAATAATCTTTTCTTGTTCATCAGGAATTGAGTTTATGTGTCTATTAGCCTCTGAGAAAGACTATTATTGTAAATCCCTGCTCCGTGGCATGCATTTTGATACCTGGTATTGTAATCTTGATAAAAAAACAATTATGTCTTAGGAGGTCATAGTACTAAGGTAGAACCTCCTAGTGTTCTTTTGATAATTGGTCATGATGTCAAATTACCTTCCAAGTGTTATTGTTTATATCTGTCAGCCTAGTTGCTCAGCATTGATCACTGAGTCTTCTTTTTACAACTGGGCAACAGCTAGTGGGGATTTCTATAAATGATAGAAGTGTTAATAATAACAGACTTGACCTTAAATGGGATATCTTTATTGACTTTTCCAGACCAATGCTTAGGGAACATTCTGGAAGACGATGGAAAAAAAACACAAAAGATCTGGAGGCTATGAAAAAATTCTTCTGGATAGGAAATGACTGATGTATTCAACTGTAAACAGTTTTTTTTTCCTGGCATTTCTTTTCAAATTTTTACTTTTTTTTATACTGTAATAGAATTTATTAGGAGGTATTTATAATACAGAGAAAAATAAAGAAACAATAAATTTCAACATAGTGGAAACAACTATTTTAAATTTTTACATCTTTATGAATAAATTTATTTAATTATCCTCTGTATAAAATTTCTAATTTTCTGCATATAATTTATACATGGGAAAATGCAGTGTTATGAGCTTAAGCAAAATATGCTAAAATCTAAGTGCCTAACTTAGATTATATATATATATATATGTATATATATATATACATATATATATGTGTATATATATCTCATTAAGAAACTTCTTAATGATTTAAAAGTACACATAATTTCCCCCTTTCCTTTCAACAACCCCATTTGTACCTCCCCCTCCCTCTTAAGTTCATTCCATCTCTTTCTTTAAAAAAGCACTATTGTAAACACACATATACACAAAAACATATAAATGCAACCCTTGTGTCCATTTAGTGTGTTTATATGTATAAGGTTTTAGGACTGACCACTTGGTATTCGATAACCAATTAGTGAGTTCAATGAGAGGCGGCCATGCTATACTGCCTAAGGCCTAACAACAGTCACTGTCTGGGGTTCTGACCGTGCCTAGCTAATGAGGATGACTATCCAATGACTATTTATTTTTCAAGTGACTCCCAAGATCTGTGTAGTTGACTTTGTTCCTCTGCACCCCCTCTCCCAAGGCAGCCAGCTGTTAGGAGCCAGCAACTCTTGATGGGTTTTGTTTACAGCAACTTTATTTTGAGTGCCCAAGGCAAGAAAACATGTGCATCATCTGGAGGGTTATCAAACAACTGTGCTTTATCCATAAATGAAATACAATTCAGTGACAAAATATGGATTAATCTCAATAACCTTATGTTGAATGAAAGAAGACACTTTCTTATCTACCATCTGTCCCTCCAAGGTATCATTCTAAGAAAGAAAACTCTCTAAGAACAGATATCACATTGTTTTTCAGTAATCACGGAATCATAAGGACTATTCACAAAGGACTTCTAGCCTCTGCGGGACCTGTGCTCATATGACTACCACACTCATTACTGAGGACAGAAATCAGTATTTTAAAAATGTGATTGGAATTTGTAAAATATTTTATATAACTTAGTCCCCAAATTAAATCTTCTAAAGTTTTATGAGCTTAGTTGCCGGATGATAGAAAGATGGCAAGGTATGGTGATGATTGCTTTTTCTTTATAAGATGAACAAAAATGTTTGAACCATCCCATATGATTTGGGTTTTAATTTTATTCTTTTGGCTTTTTGTAGATAATATAAAGTATCCACTGAAGAGATCTTTCTTCTCTTGAATGAGTCCACAATGTTTACTATTGCTATGAATCCATTTCCCAAGATTCCAGATATTAATTCTGCAAAGAAAGTGGCCCTAAGAAGATTCTGTATGAGAGCACCCATTGTCCAAAAATAATCCAAGATATCTAACGCCACTCTTAAAGTTCCTTAATTCATTATTTTCAAGTGACAGTTGCATTTAATGATCAAATATTAAAAAATATTATCCCATTGATAACTGATTCACACAATGCTAAGCCATGTTTATTTAATTTCTTAGTTGTAATTATACAATATACTACAAAATAGCATAATATTAATTTATCATTTTACTTTGTGCTTTTTCCAAAAAAAGGCCTATATCCAAACTTACTAAATATATTCCATGTCCCCCCCCCTTCCCAAAAAGCCAGGTTTTCACTTCTGTTAACATCAATTGAGGCCATTCTTGCTTCAGTAATACTTATGAAGATACTGTCTCAAGGGTTCTTCTTAGTTAGTATTCCTTGGTGGAAAGCAGTTTCCAGCCATGGCTACCACAGTGAACTACTGAATATTTGTCGCAATAGTCATATCGATGAATTCAGCAAAATGATGCAGTCAAGTTAGGTACAGGACAATGACATTAGACTTGTTTATTATTCCTGTCATAAAGATAGCAGGATAGAATTATGAGATCCTCATTTGTGAGTCCAGCCTTTGTTCTGCTTTCCAGCTTCTCACAGTCTTGGGTGAGATGTAGGAGTGTGCCAGTTCTTCACACATTCTACCCAGCAGACTTGGGTAACCATGTCCAATGCCAGTCTATTCACAATAGCTAGGAAATAGAAATAACCTAAATGTTCTCAGGAGATGAATGGTTAATGAAAATTTTGCAAGTTGAAAATTGTAATTTCAATGACATGACAGAAATGTGGTTTTCACTCACTTCCTTTCAGGCAGAAAAGATAGATTCAGAGGGCAAACAGGGAAATAAGAACAGCTAGCCAATTCATGGGCTTATTATAAAGAGGTGGAACCAGAGTCCCCAGACAAGGCAACACTACACACTTGAATGGTACCTGTTAAGCAAAGATTGCATTTCCAAAGGTGAAACTAGCACCAAGAGAAATGGATGGATCTCACTCACGTCTTAGAAATGTTTAGTGCTCTTCCCAGTCCTGATGCTGGGATCATCAAAATCAGTACAATAGATTGATTTTGAAGAACTGAGCCCTAGGGAAATCATTTGTTTGTTTATTTCAGGAGTAAATTAAGAATTCAGAAAAAGAAAGAGAGGAAGGAAGGAAGGAAGAAGGAAGGAAGGAAGGAAGGAAGGAAGGAAGGAAGGAAGGGACAGAAAAGAAACCTGGGAGGCAGAGTCCAAAGAGGAAGCTGTAAATCAAAAGCTTAGCACCCTGTAAACTAAGTCAGCTCCCTTCAGTTCTGTCCTCACAGGTGAGGACAGAATTCTGGCATCACAAATTCATGAAGGCCCTGCAAAGGGCAAAGTAGGAAGGAGCTAAGGACAAAAGGTTTCCAAAGGCAGAGTCAAAACAAACTACAGAGATGATGGGAGAGCTCTGAATGCATTCTCTGAGGTTGCCGAACAATATGGAGAGTCAACTCCCCCACTTGTTTCTTAGCTTTGAGCTGATTTGGAGAAACAGATCTCAGGCATGGGAGTGGGGACCTGTAAGACCCCTTGACACTAGATCCTGAAATTTCAAGCTATAACCATGTGGTATTCTTCAAAATCGGTGGTTATTTAAGAACAACAACAAAATGTGTCCAGGAGAAGACAGAAGTTCACATTCTCAAGTATTTTCAGGTATTTGATTGGACCCAAAGATGATTTATGGTTCATCACAAAGGGAAGCTTTTGCTGTCAGAGGCCACTTGAACTGTGATTCATGCCATACTTTGATACTGAATGTGTAAGTGACATAGGTTTGCTAGTCTGTAACATTCTGCATTGCATTGTGACAATAATGTGACATTATTATAGGGTCAACAGGAAGACTGAAATCAAGTCTCTCTAGTGATACAAACCACTCTTAAGGGCTGGCTCCATGCCCAGCAGATAGTCAACACAAAACAAATTTAATGGAAGCTTTATGGATTGGTTCTTTGTCTCATAATATTTTGTCAGAGCTTTCTAAAAAAAAAAAAAAAATTTAACCTTACAGGCAGTATCCTGATTTTGTGTTTTCATGGGATTGATGTGTGTATGAATGTGTGCGTGTCTGCATCTATATATGTTTCTTTGGATCTTTCTATTTGTTTGTTGTTTGTTTTTTATCTTATCAGTATTCTGTAAATGTCAGACAGAAATGGTGTGGATTCAGATGGACTGGAGGTGGGATGATCTTCAAGAAGTTTGGGAAATAGAAAACCATAATTAGAATATTTTGTATATAAAAGAATCCTGTTTTTAGTAAGAGAAAAATAGAAAAAGGGCAAGTGAGAGAGAATTTACTATAGGTTTCTTTGTGCTTATAGGTCTGCTAAATGCATTGTGTGTATGTTTCTAATAATTCTCTTTATTTTCTGTTAGACAGGAAGAGTAATATTTTAATTAATTATTTTAACTGTTACTGGTTCTCTGTGGTTTCACATCTTGCATTCCAATCCAACTTATCTCCTTATCCCCTCAAATATGCCCTCTGTCCTTGCAACTTCCACCTAAAATTAAACAAATTTTTTTATTATATTTATTTTTTTTCTTATTTTACAAATGATCCCAGTTCCCTCATCCTCTCTCCCTCTCTCCCTCCTTCTCCCCCTTCCTCCACCCTCTCTCTCTCCCTCCCCCCCCCCTGGCTCCCTACCACCCTCCCATCAAAACAAAATCCAAACCAACTAAGGAAACCAAACAAAAACAAAAATATAAGAATGTCGTCATGGAAGCTGTAGTATAGCCTGATGCGTCACACAGATTACCCTTTAGTCCATTCATCTGCTGAATGTTCCTTGCTGAGTCATTGGTTTGGTTTGAGGCCTCTGGCTTCTGCTATGCTATCAATAATAGTCTCTTACATGGGCTGTTCTTGGATATCTTTTTCTTGTCTTGTGTAGTATAGTTCCTACAGTTTTTGATCTGTAGGTCTGTCTCCTTCCTATGCTCCAATACTTCATAGATGAGCTGGATATTGGGGTGGGCTAATTCATAGTCCTGGTTCTGGGCTTGGGTGGTAGCTGGGTTTGTCAGCCCACCAGCTTTGCCTCATCATCCCTACCAGGGAAAGTTCTCCAGCTCTGCCTCGGCTAGTTCTCCCAATGCTGCCTGCAGCAAGGAGTGGGAATAGTTATCTTTGTCTCAGGTCCTAGGATTCTTGTCACCCAGACTCACCACCATGGCCAGCTCTACTGTTTTGCTCAGGTGAGATGGAGGCCCTCTCTCCCAGTTGCCACAGGGGGCATAGGGAGCAGGGGCTCAATTCTCCTTCTCTAGTGCCTTCAGGCTTGCCTTGCCTGCAACCCTGACAGCAGGGCTAGCTCCAATGAGCTGCTCAGGCAGGGTTCAGGGCCCCGACAGTTCTGAAATTTGCTCTGTAGACCAGGCTGACCTTCAACTCACAGAGATCCATTTACCTCTGCCTCCTGAATATTGGGACTAAAGGTGTGCACCACCACTATCCAACAATTCTTGAAAAACCAAAATCTACATCAAACAAGTCTTCAATATGTGATTCCGAATTGACATCGAAAGAGGGGGTGGCTCATCACTGAAATCTATGTAAGCTTAGTTTTGGTTATACACACCTCTTCTTCGTCTACTCATCCTCTACCTGCTTAGATACCCCCAACCCCCAGTGTTCCTGTCTTCTACATTCTCATCCAGTATGGTCTAGTTGATAGAAAAAAAAAATTTGGAGGGCAGGGGAAAAGACAAAGAGAAAAGAGTATAAAATATCTGATGATTTCTAATCATGGCTTCTATAATTTCTTTAGAGCATTAAGACAGTATGAATGAAAAACTTTCATAAAATTGTATAATAGGTGAATCTATTTACAATATTTAACAACGTTTATTATTTTCATTGATAAAATAATGCTGGATTTTCTTCTACTACAAATGTGCTTAAATTCACAACTTTTATTCCTGGATATTAATATATTATTTATTGTTTTTGAGAATTTCATGAATGAGTATTGCATTTATGTCATTGTAACCCTTCCTCTGACCCCTAAATTCTCCCACTAATCCCTCTTAAATGCAAGACCTTATTTCTGTTATAATTATTTTCACTCACTCACACATACACATACACTGAGTCCATTTAGTTTTGCTTGTATATGCTCATATTGAGGGTTGACCAGCATTAGATAACTTGTCATACATCTAAAAAGATTTGATACATACATGTGATACAAAGAATAATGGGGAAAGCAATGATTTCTTGACACAAGCTAACGGTTTTAAATAATATTTAAAAATGGATTTTAAACTTACTATGTAGAAGATAAAGAAGTCAGTTATACCTGGCTTCATAATTCTGAAAAATGTAAATCATATTTTGACTAATGATATGGGTTTTGTGAAAATAATATTAGAGGAATGCTGTAGACAGGTTTTCTTGTATATTTTACACATGTCCACAAACAAAAATTATCTCTAATTTAGTAGTCATAGATATAAATATCTTCTGGAAGCGTCTTTAGAAACAGTTCACACTGTCCGTGTTTTCAAAGGCAATAGGAAGCGTACAATGCTAGAGTCCCTGCTCCCAGTCACAGCACTTCTTAAATGGCGGTGGGAGGGATTTGAGGTTTCCGTTCTTTCAGCCAGAGCCTTGTTGTCACCTGCACCATCGCTGACACAAAGGCCTGTTTGATCTTCTTGTTTCCCCATATCAGTATGTAGGAATGGCTTGAAGGATACAAACTTCCAATAATTTGGCAAATCAGGTGGACTGGCTCATCCAGAGACTTCGTATAATTATAACCTGATATGATCAGAGACAGAATGAACATGGAAAATAACAACAGAAAGGAGACTACAGCTTGCAAAGCCTTAATGTGGGCCGTAGTGCTTGGATCGTGGAACCCTTTTCCATAAAGCTTCATTGTCTTAAGGTGTTTACACAGAGAATAGATTAACAGCAGAAAACAGATCATAGACATGGTGAAGGGAATGACATTTAGCGTGATTGCCATCATAACTGTAAGGTTTATGACATGAGCCAATTTGGTCTTCTCAGTCAAATTGCCTTTGATACCATTCACTTGGACTTTCTCGAACATGGTTGCCATCATGAGATTAGGAAGCAATAACACCAAACTCCCCAAAAGTACAACTATAATGACACTCTTTATTTTTCCCTTTAGGCCAAGGAAAATAAGGTTCGAGAAATTGCCTATCTTCAGCAAATACAGTATGCTGAGTATCGTTGCCAGCCAGGTATGAAAATGGTTTGTTACAGCCCAGACAAAATAAACAATAAATCTTACTTGTCTAGTTAATAAAGTTGGAATAAACACAGTTGAGCACCAATTCATGAATATTACCCAAAGAAAAGCAAGCCTGAAGATGGACAGAGCAGTGAGAATTCTATCAGCTAAGGAGATTTTTCTTCTCTTGATGCAGTCGGTAAAGTTTACCAGAACAATGAAGACATTGGCAACGCTTCCAAGGGTAATTTCTGCCATCACTGTGATGGCTGCAATGATGTGAAAAAAATTCATTACGTCTGAACAAATAGTTTTCAAGAGAGGAAAAAAATAAATGCAGCTCTTGTGTCACTGGTTGTGGTTTTGTGAACACACTGATTCTGTGTTCTTCATTTATAGCCAGCGCAGATCATGCTGTTTTTAAATACCACAGCCAATGTCAAGTGCGAAAGCAACCCCATGAGCTGGTGAATGAGTTTGGTGCTTTTTTTTTTTTTTTTTTTTTTTTTTATAGAAACCAGAATACTTGCAAAGCAGTTCAAATGGATTTTATTCATACGCCCTTCTAAGAACTGGTGTATTTCAGAGCTGAGCTTGAAGGGAAGCTACACTCTCATTGACAAGCATGCAAATAAACAAAAAAAAATGGATTTGGTTTAAAACCATTTCCTTCTGCTTAAGCCCATCATAATTTGTGTTCATCTATGTTACTGATTTGTTATTAAAATTTTAAATATCAGTACAAAAGATATGCAATGAGTTTGTAAATCCTTTTCGCTATTTTGGCTAGATATATAGGTATTGCCAGTATGGATTTACTTACTGTTAAACGACAGATTTAAATATTAAAACTATATGAAAATTTCCTAACCAAATGGTCAAGGCCTATGCTTGGGGCACCAGGATGGCTAATACTTCACACAGTCTGATAACTGATGAAAACACCTATCACCTATGCCTAATTTTTCCTTAAAAGCTGACAAGAGAATCCCACACCTGACAGAAGGCTGATCTCCAAAATATACAAAGAACCTATGAAGCTAGTCAACAAAACACTAAATAATCCAATTAAAAAGCAGGGTACATAACTAAATAGAGAATTCTCAATAGCAGAATCTAAAATGGCTGAATGACACTTAAGAAAATGCTCAACATCCTTAGCCAGCAGGGAAATGCAAATCAAAACAATTCCGAGATACCATATTACACATGTCAGAATGGCTAAAATCAAAAACACCAAGGAGAGTTTATGCTGGAGAGGAGAAATGGGAGCGCTCCTCCACTGCTAGTGCGAGTGCTAACTTGTACAGCCACTTTGGAAATCAGTATGGGGGGGGGGTTGCTCAGGAAAATGAGAATCAGTCTACTTCAAGATCTAGCAACTCCACTCTTAGACATATACCCAAAAGATGCACATTCATAAAACAAGGACATCTGAGGAACTGTGTTCATAGCAGCATCATTTGTAATAGCAGAACCTGGAAGCAACTAGATGCCCCTCAACCGAAGGATGGATAAAGAAAATGTGGTACATTTACACAATGGAGTACTACTCAGTGGCGGGGGGAGGAGGGGACCAAGAACAATGGAGTCTTGAAATTCTCAGGCAAATGTATGAAACTGAAAGAAACCATCCTGAGTGAGGTAACCCAGTCCCAAAAAGCAAACATGATATGTACTTACTCATATATGGATTTTAGACATAGAGCAAAGGATCACCAGCCTACAATCCACACCACCAATAAAGCTAGGAAACAAGGAGGACCCTAAGAGAGACACATGGTCCCCTGGAGAAGGGAAAAGGGACAAAATCTCCTGAGCAAACTGAGAGCATGGGAAGAGGGGAAAGACAGTTAGGAAAAAGAGATGGAGAGATAGGGAGCAGGAAAATTGAGTCAGGGAAAGAATAGAGGAGAGCAAGAAAACAGATACCATAATCAAGGGAGCCATTATAGGTTTAAAGAGAAGTCTGGCACTGGGGAAATGAACGGAGACCTACAAGAATGACCCCAACTAACAAACTAAGCAACAGTGGAGAGGCTACCTTAAATGCCCTTCCCCAATAATGAGATTGATAACTAACTTATATGTCATCCTAGAGCCTTCATCCAGTAGCTGATGGAAGTAGAAGCAGACACCCACAGCTAAACACTGAGCCAAACTCCTGGAGTCCATTTGCAGAGAGGGAAGAGTGATGAGCAAAGGGATCAAGACCATGGTGGAGAAACCCACAGGAACAGCTGACCTGAACAAGGGGGAGCTCATGGATTCCAGACTGACAGCTTGGGAACCAGCATAGGACAGAACCAGGCCTGCTACAAGTGGGTGTCAGCTAGGAAGCCTGGGCAGTCTATGGGGCTTCTGGTAGTGAATCATTATTTATCCCTAATTTAGGAATGGTCTTTGGGAGCTGTAACATATAGAGGGATACTCTCTCAGCGTCCACAGGGGATGTGACAGACTTTGATGATTCCTCATAGAAGGACTTACTCTCCCTGGGGATCAGAAATGGGATGGGAAAGGAGCTCCATGGGGGACACGGGAGGATGGGAGGGAGAGAGAATTGGGATTGACAGACAGGCTCCCTCATCTCTCATGCATCTTTCATCCATAGGAGAATCATTGAACTGTAGTCTCCTAAACTTAAGACTAATTTCAAAGATATCATGTAAGTTTAAAGAGGTCATTTGTTGTACTTCCAGCCATTTGATCCAGTATAAATATATATAACATACAAATATTTTCAAATATATGTACTATGGTTAGATATTTATATAATTGTTCACTTAGGTATAGTTAATATATTTAAATATCATTTGATTCAAATAATAAACAGTATTTTGAAATAATTACTTGTTAAACTCTTTTTAAATTTTATTTTACTATTTTGTGTGAATGAGTGTTTTGTCTGCATGTATGTTGGTGGATCACATGTGTGTCTGGTGACTGTGGGATGGAAGCCTCCATGTGGGTGCTGGGAATCAAACCCAGACCCTTTCCAAGAATGAGTGCTCTTAACCACTGAACTAACTCTCTGGCCTCAACAGTTTTCCAGAGATTTCTCAAAACAAAACAAATAAAGCATGTGTTTGTCCTTGTGGAGTTAAGGCTTGATATATAAATATTCAGTTTCTAATCTAACTGATTTTGATGACTTAATTTTTAAAATTAGTATGTGTTAAAATGGTTTAATTTATGCATTCTATTTTTTCAGTTTTTATAATTAGTTTTAGCAAAAGCTGTTGAAGTCATACTTCAAAGATGGAAAACCAGGCACTTGGGTTTACACGGCTGTATTATAAGTTTTTATTTATTTATTTTATTTACTTATTTGGTTTTTCAAGACAGGGTTTCTCTGTGTAGCTTTGTAGACCAGGCTAGCCTCAAACTCACAGACTCTACCTCCTGAGTGCTGGGATTAAAGCATGTGTCACCACAGCTCAGCAATATAGGCTTTTTTGGTTTTTTTTTTTTTTTTTTTTTTTTTTTTTTTGTAACTGCTTACGAGTAAAATGCAAGTAAAAATAACATCTTCATTATCAACAACAGTGACAATTCCCTTCCATATTGAAAACAAACAAAATCTTAAAATATGTTGAGTAGAAAATACATTTTAGGAACATTTTTTATAAAGAAAAATTACAAATTCATCCAATAGTAATAATTTCCCTACAGATTAAGCATACGTGATGTGCTTGCTTTGGGGATGGCATGCATGTTCTTCTGTCTGATATGTCTGATAAGGTTTGGTATTGCTAACCCAAAATTTCAAAACTTGTTAACTTGGTTTACTACTAATAGAGTAAAAGTATTCCCATATAAAACATGCAAATGTAAATGTGTTTGCTCAAGTAAACCAAAAAAAAAAAAAAAAAATCTTGAAACAATAGCTGTCAGGGGTGATAGCACATTCCTGGATCCCAGCACTTGAAAGACAGTGATAAGGGATAACTTCGAGTCCAAGGCCAGCGTAGCTGGACAGTGGCTCCCATTCCAACCAAAGCTACATAGACAGACCTTGCCTCAAAGCCAAACAAAAATTTAATGTAAAACAGTGATTATTTCTATAGGATATTATCTTAAATTAATTAAATTACACTCTCCATCAGTTATAGAGAGCTAGGATTTTCAAATTTGACCCAGATTTTACAGATAATACCTTTGGAACAGATGGCCCTGATTTAACCATTTAGAAACTACTATAAATTATGTATTTTTATTACATTTTGTGTTCTCCTTTTTTACCTCTTTTTTAATATATTGTATGTTGGTGGTGATTATTTTTATACCCTATTCTATGAATGAAAATAGAAGAGAAATGATGATGTAATTGAGTAGATCATTGTAATTTTCAAAAATTAATGGGTTTACATGGCAATGTAATTATGAAGGTGACCAAAATTCTCTCTTTCTGAATTTCATAGTTTGACACATCACACATGAAGTAGGTAGAGTATGATCCACCTACCATGATGATTATTCACAATTAGTCAACAGTAAATAACATTTATAGAAGGATGTAATCCAGGGGAGATGTTCAGCCCAGATAAAAGACTAACGGCAGACCAAAGAAATCACTTCACTTACATATAGCTTAGTAAACCAGTAAGTTTCTTTGGGTTGCTTATGGGAGAATAGATTACTTACAGTACCATGGTTGTCTAAACCTATCTCAGCACCAGTCAGGACTTAGGAAAGATGCTGAATTTGCTGGGAGCTCATCAAATCAGTAGAAGAGTCTACTTGAGCCTTGTGGATTCCAGGAGCATTGTGAACCTTGTGTTTACATCCTGGTATTATGAGCTTCTCCCATCCCTCCAAGATGGGCTGTTTCAACATGAAGTATAGGAAAATGACAGAGGCTGTTACTTTGCCCAGGTTGGGACTGCTCTCTTATACTAGGTTCAACAGACCAAATAAAAGGAGTTACTCATGCTGTAATTCCACATCGTGACATGCAACAGAGTTGTTAAACATGAGCAAGAGGGCAGAAGAGAGAGAAAGGAGAGGAGGAGGAAGAGAATCGAGTTTGGTAAATACAATATTTAAAAAAATATTTTGCTTATAAAAAATATTTGAAATGATCAATTTTTGACTAACAATTGATCAAATGATAGATGATCAGTCTTTGGTTTTTCATTTTTATTTATGAACCCTTGTTTTTTAAACTGTATTCTGTCTATAGAGCTAATGCCCACTCTCAGAGTATCAGAATGCATGTTTCATTTTGTAGAACTATATTCCAAACTATATTTGCAAATAAGAGCCAATTAAAATCTATAAATTTGTTGCACTATTGTCTCTTGACATAATGGAACTTAAATAAGGTACAATCTAAGCCTAGGCTGGAGAACTTCTTGTCACATCTGTTTCTGGAGATCTGAGTCACAATCTTGGGTAGAAGTATAGATAAATAGACTTGGTTCAGTGATCCTTTGCTTTCCTAACTGTTTCAGCTCTCAAAGGAGGAAAACCTAACTCACAGAAAGAACAAAACATGACAGGGTTTCTGGTTGTTAGTGGAAAGCCACTGTCATTTGAATTGATTTGCAATGCAAATTAGATGCCTAACATAAAAGGGAGCATTTCTTTGTTATGTGGGAGGGGGTTTTGTTTGTTTCTATTTTTTCATCTTGTTTTTTTTTTTTTTTTTTTTCAAGACAGGGTCTCTCTGTGTAACAGCTCTGGCTATCCTGGAACTCACTTTGCAGACCATGCTAGCCGCAAACTCCCAAATATCTTCCTGCCTCTGCCTCCTGAGTGCTGGGATTATAGGCTTGTTCGACCACTGCCTAGCTGGTATTCTATTTTTAATTTTAATTAGAGGGTGAGGATAAACTTACAAGAGCTGAATAAATAGACTAAGTCAGACAATTTCAGGAACCAGATAATCTCTGCTTTCAGAAAACTGAATTTAGATGTCTTTCATACTGTCCTGACATTAAGAGAACTATTGAGATGGTTTTCTCTTTAATTAGCTGTTCAACTTTTGTTCTGATTTCTTCAGGCCAACATGTGTTTACGATCTGTGGCAAGGAGCACACGCAGGGTTTTCCCTCTGGACTCTGGGGTCCAGCTCAAAGAGAATATTCAGTTGACCTATATTCTTCTCTTACTAATCATGCTACTGACATTGATAGATACTAGAGAGTCGTGTACAGATTACAGAGGCTGTATGTAACAAATTAACCACATAAAGCTCTTATAGTAAAAACTATTTTATATATCCACTATTTGATTCCAATCCAGAAAGAAAGCTGTCTTGGGAGGCTCAGAAGAACTCCTTGCAAGAAAGTGCAACCCTTGGTGCAGATCCAAGTCCTGATTAGAAAGCCTATGAAGTCTCACTATCAGCACCTACTCCACACAGCTCCACCATCCCCCCTCTATGCCCCCCCCCATCCTATTTCTAGTTGCTTCTCTTCTCACTTGAGCTCATTTTGCTACCTGGAAGGAGTCACACCACAAAGACCTTCCTGCCACTACACTAAAGGTATGTGAGTTTTTCCATTCTTAGATGCTTTTACCAATATATCACAAAGTGGCCTGTTATTCCTTGTCCATCTGTCTTACCACCAAATGATGGTAGTAAAGTTTCAAGTGAATCAGGTTCACTTTCTTTGATTCACAGGTTTAAAATACTATCAGCCCTAGACATTAAATTACTGCCTGGCGTTCTCTGCCATCTACACTGTATTTGGCAACCATTGCTGACTTTATTTAACTGTATCCAGTATTGTTCTTTACCTACTGTATCAAATGCTCATTCTTCATCTATCCCAGCATGTTTGACATCCTTCATTTGCCTTGGTGACAATCAATGACGATTACAAAGCAGGTACTGGAGGCAATTGAAAGGAGGTGGATACAGGCTGATAGGCTTTGTTGCAAATGGAAGAATCAGCTCTACCAGTCAAAAGAGAGGCTGGGAATGAGGAGGTGTCTTGCTGGGCAGATAACCTAATCTTTCTTATTGACTGTTCACAGCATAAGAATTTCAGAACTTACATATATGTAAAATAGACCTAATACACCAGTTAAAAATGGAAAGTGTATCCTAAGCATGGCCTGACCAACTTGTTCAATACTAAGCATGATCTAGACATACAATATATATCAACAAACATGAACACATTAAAAAATTTAAAAAGTATTTAAATCTCAATTTATGGTGAGCGTTTGTACAGATGTATCTATGCATGTGAAACAATAAGGAAATATTACTTTTGCTACTTAATATTTGAAGAATAAGGATCCTCAAGACATTATTACACAGATCAGAATGTGAGCTCTACAGACATCAGATGGCCAGGTAGCTGCACAGATTAGCAACCTTGAAGTACTTATAAAGACTTATATCTTAGAAAGTTCCATAATCTGTTTACGTTTTTCACATCTTTTATACACTTGGTTGTTTCTTAAAAGCATTTTGCACAGAACTCAGAGAATCATATCAAATATGATGGATGAGAGCTGACTGTGTGCAGAGAAGTTCTGGTCTGACTTGCCTGACCTGTGTGAGGAGACACACTTTCGTGGAAAGAGCTTCAGACTCTATGTTTGCTCCGCTGTTAGTGTGTGGGGAAGAATTAAGAGTAAATATGCTATGAGAATAAACTCAGAAATTCTCAAAAACACACTTAAAAATAGCATTTCAAGTGAGTATGTCAACAAATCTTCGGAACTTAAATATATATATATACATATATATACATATATGTATATGTATATGTATATATATATATATATTATGGAGCATATTCTACAGCCAGTATATATTTTCCAGAATGCATTAGTGATCATTTTTATCACAGAATTAATCATTGGAAATTTAGGAAATGGATTCTTGGCCCTGGTGAACTGCATGAACTGGATCAAGAGGAAAAAGGTCTCATTCGTAAGCCAGCTCCTCACTGCTTTGGCCGCCTCCAGAATGTTTCTGCTCTGGTTATTGTTTGCATGCTTATTAATCTCCTCATTGTATCCAGATTTAACCACTGCTGCAAGAGTGATAAAAGTCATTAACAATCTGTGGATTATAGGCCACCATTTCAGCATCTGGCTTGCCACATGCCTTGGTATCTCTTATTTTCTCAAGATAGGCAATTTTTCCAACTCTCTTTTTCTTTATCTAAAGTGGAGAGTTAAAAAGGCAATTTCAGTGACACTGCTGTTGTCCCTGATCCCCTTGTTTTTAAATATTTTATTGGTCAACTTGGAAATTAACGAGTGTATAAGTGAATCTCAAAGAAACATATCCTACAGTTTCATTTCTCATTACCATACACAGTGTCACAGGCGTGTGTTAAGCTTTTACACTATTTTCCTGACTATCCCCTTTGGTGTGTGCATGTTATCTTTCCTCCTGCTCATCTTCTCCCTATGGACACATCACAAGAAGATGCAGCAGAATGTCCAAAGATGCAGAGTTGCCAGTACTACAGCCCACATCAAAGCTTTGCAAATCGTGGTCGCCTTTCTCCTATTATACACCATTTTTATGTTGTCTCTGTTACTACAACTTTGGAAATATGAGTTACTGGAGGAAAGTCTTTTCATTTCATTTTGTCAGGTTATATATGTAGCTTTTCCTTCATTCCATTCATGTGTCTTGATTCTGGGAGATATGAAACTGAGACAGGCCTATCTTTCTCTGTGTTGTGGTGGCTGAAACACAGGCTCAGTTACATGGAAACCCTTGATTTCTAAAACCAAGGGATCATGTTGCATTTTCTAGAAAAAGATTAACGAATAAAAATTTATTTTTAAATAATCTTTGATTTGACTGCATAAGTTTTGGTTTTGTTTTATGATAAGCACTAGCTAAAACTATTACTAATTTAGCAATTTACATACAAAGTTATTTATTTATTTATTTTTGTTTTTTTGAGACAGGGTTTCTCTGTCTTGCTTTGGAGCCTATTCTGACACCTGCTCTGTAGACCAGGCTGGCCTCAAACTCACAGAGATTCACCTGCCACTGCCTCCAAAGTGCTGGGATTAAAGGTGTGTGCCAGTTATTTCTTAATATACATATCTAAATAAGGATGTTGTTGTAACCTAGTAAAACATAAATATATCAAAGTTAAATAGATTTTGTAACATTTGTTAACCATGACATTTTGAGTTATTGTCTAAATATGTTTTTGAATCTATATTAACTGTAATAAAAGTATATGAGTGAAACCATATAAATATAATACAGGACATGTGAATAAATGTTTAAAGAAGAAATTTATACTATTATATAGACTTTTAAATCACTGGAAATAAAGGTACCTTATTAAACACTGAGCTTGATTTAAACTTTTTGTCAATTCTTTAGACTTATGAGACTACTGTGTTAACAGTTACTATATTTTTATTATTAGTTTCATTATTAATCATTCTAAAATAATTTCCTGATTTTTAGGACTATGTAATTTACATTTTTAGGTATAATGTATTTTTCTGTATCATTTTAGGTAACAGAATAACCTATTTTATTTTAATACACAATTAGAAGAAACAAAAGTTTATGATACTTCTAAAACCATTAATTTGAAATTGTTGGGTTTTATATTTTATACTATAATGTATCCCTATTATCATAATTTGTAATATTTTATTGATGACCCACATACAATATCAGATCTTCTTATATTTACCAGTTGTTACTATTTATTGTATGGCACAATTGAAGAACCTATAAAATTAAATTAATTTGTGAAATAATTTCAAGTAGTTTTACAATGTACATAGGCAATCGAGTCTGGCCAGAAACCAAGTGTTTTATGCATTTAAATCATTAGTATGATATGATTCTGGATCTTATTGGAGATGAATAACACTTTGTTCAGATGTATTTTCATAAATAAATATTTCAAAGTTTTTGAATCAAGTTTATAGTACACTTTTCCATGTTCTTACAAAATATTTACTCATTCATTGAAAAATGTATATGGACATCTATTCATTGCACCATTTGAATATATTTTTATGAGAAACAGAAGCTCTGAATTGAAGACAATGAACATCTCTTCCAAACAGTTTCTAAGATAAGAACCTCTTATATTTCCCAGTCTTGGAGATTAAAAGTATGGCCTTATGTACAGTCAACAAGTGTTTTAGTATTAATGAATATGTTCAATACTTACCCTCAGTGTCTTTGTCTTCATTCCATCTGAGTTCTCACAATGGGTAATGCTACTTTTCATGTGATTGTTCCAGGATACAGCAGGACATGAGGATCCAGTAGAAGGTGAAAGCAAGAACCTTCAGTTGATGGAACACCCACACAAATTCATACAAAACACAAGAAGACATTCCCAGTAACATTTGGTGGCAGAAAAACATTGCATAGAATGTGTAATAGAGAAATAGGTACTACCTTTTCTCTATGATATTGATACCTAATTAATTTGTCAACTAAATGTAAAAAAGTGTCCACATAAGACTATGAAGTAACACACTCCCTGTAAATGTCAGTGTGTTTGTGATGCACCTATCAGTGTCATTCAGTGGAGAATACTTAACATCCCTGCATGATAAAAGTATGACTTAAACAATATATCAGGAGGACTATGGGAGTCTTGTCAACTGAATTCTGTGCATTTCAATTTATGGTCTACAGTCCTTAGACCTAGACACATCTCATTAAATTTCCTTCAAGACCAACTTATTGACAGAGGAGGGTTTGAATGATGACTTCATGGTGGGGGAAAGCAGGAAAGTTGTAAATTTGGAGCCAAATTGTCTTGATCTATCATTAGTTCTCTTAGTAGTCATTCAATGCACTCCTCTTGTGTTGAATAGTATTATGACTATCCGATATAAGCCTTTTTGAACTTATTAATGTAATACAATATTAGCTCTATATGTGTGTATATGTTTAAAATGATTTTTAGTGGAATTTCTTTCCTATGATAATGGTATTATCATATAAGGGTTTATATTTGTTACTTTATTGCTGCTGTAACAAGACAGTGTGATCATATTATGGAAAAGGAGATAATGATGGAGGAGATATAACAGCTGGTAGAGGGAGCAGTAAAATGAGAGATCTCATCTTCAGCTACAAACACAAAGCAGAGAGTATGAAATAGAAGTGAGATGAGGCTATGAACTCTCAAAGCCCATTCCCAACAATGTTTCCCTTCAACAAGGCTGCACCCCACCCTTTAAAAATGCTGCTGACTGAGATCAGTTGTTCAAATACCTGAGTCTCTGAAGGACATTTTTCATTCAAGCTACCACATTCCTCTCACCGATCTCTATAGTATCATGGCCATATCATAATGCAAAGTGCACTTAAACCTTATCATCTTTAACATTCTGTTTAAACATGCTGTTTAAAAATCTAAATTACTTTCTGAGACTCTAGGAAATTTCCTAATCGTGGCCATCATAAAATAAAATAAAACACAAACAAATTGCATACTTCCAACATATTGTAACATACAATAGATCTTTTAACCCTAAAAGAGAGAAACGGAGGGTTGGATTACTGGGGAAAACTGGAATGAAGGAAGTGTTAAACCCAATGTAAAAGTACAAAATCCTATAGTTTCATGTCCAATGCTTCGAACTTCAATTCCCATAGGCTTCTGTGGCTGTGACACTTTATTTCCTGCAACATACATTTTTCTCTTGGGATGGTTTCCATTACCTATGTGCAGCTAGCTCTCCTCGACAGATAGAAAAAAAATATGTAGTATGTTAGTCAAATAGAAGAAGTCAAAAATATTTTCAAATACAATTTAAGTTGTTCTTCAGACAAGACTGAAGCATTTAAAACTCTGTAATGACAAAAAACAAACAAACAAACAAACAAACAACCACCACATTTCTCACTGATAAAATCTAACAGGGACAGTTATTAATATGTCTTCTGCATCATAATTTGGGGCTGGAGAAGTGGTGTGGGACTTCAGAGCACTTACCTCTGCCAATGACCGGCTTCCAGGTTTGAGTTCCCAATACCCATGATGTGGCTCATAACCCTCTGTCAACATAGTTCCTGTGGATCCAACAACCCGCCTGGCATTCCAAGTCTTCCCTATGTACGCAGTACACTCAGGTGAATAATACACACACACAAAAGAAAATCAAATGTGAAAAGCAGACTAATGTATTTAGATGATTTCTTCTTATAGTGAAGGAATCAGTTTCCAAAGTAACTAGTGAGAGATGTTTGCACAGCAACACAATTTTAATTAAAAATGAAGAGATTTCAGGAGAACCCATAAAATGTACTGAAGAGTTAAACTTTAATTAGTCACTGGCAAAGAGTTTTCCAGTACTGTTAGCATGGAAGATGCTCTAAATGAGAATTATGGGGTAAGGAGCCTGAGTACACATAAAAGGTCAGGGGTGGGGTTTTCTCTCTTTTTGAGGATCACTATGGAAAGTATAGAATAAAATTCCGTATCTATTTCCTTAGACTGTTTAGGAAGCCAGATGAAAAGTATGGGAAGTCATGGGAGGAAGGGGTGTGTTTATTTGTGCCTATTATCCATATCACAGAAGATTTAATTTTCTGGGAATTTGGGGAAACAAAGAAGGAAGATAATTATTAGGAAAATTCTGCAATTTTCTTTTAATCCTCTGCAGGAATGCGATGATTTCTAAAACATTATACCTTGGTAATAATAAACTATTCAAATCAGCTGTAGGTTTCATCTATTAATTCAGACATTTCTTCCTGTTCCATCCTTTTAGTTTTAAAGATTAGCTGACATCCATCCTCGATAAGCTAAAACGAAGCAGGTGTTCTACAAGGTTAAAAGAATGAAGGGATGAAAAAGAGTATGTCTACATTTGCATGCTAACAAACGAGAAACAAGTTTTTCCTCCAGCATCTGTTGTGGGAAATTCTAGCCTGTGGAGACTAGGACATTCAGTCTGTGGACAGGATTTCTAAGGTGTTTGAGGGACAGTATATTCCATGCAAACCATTGAGATACTATTACTTTCTTTTATGCTGTCCAAAGGCAGTAAAAGGAACCTGAAACTTCAATGCACATACAATGCACAATACAAAATTGATTGAATTTTTGGTTTGGATATTAAGAAATCACAACTGCATATCTCTCTCTCTCTCTCTCTCTCTCTCTCTCTCTCTCTCTCTCTCTCACACACACACACACACACACACACACACACACACACACACCAAAACTTGTTTATTAGAACTAGTTTCTTGGAACTTTTCTAATGTCTTCACTGTACTAGTGACCTGCACTGACTGTGTCAGGAGCTACAGTATCTCAGCTGATTAAATTCATTGCTTTGTCCATCTCCACAGCTGTTTTATTTGAAAAAGACATTTATATAAAACTATGAGCAAATGCATTTTATAGATAGAAAATAGAAAATTGTTTTTATTGTTTAGTAACTACCAACCATTGTATCTGTTACTAGCTCCAACGTATTATGTTTGCTATGAAGATGGTCAGTTTTCCAACCTTATATTTCTCTCCCCATAAAATATGTGAGCTAAGCCTCCACATTCAAAGTTTAGTATCAGGGGCACTGTGGTATGTAGGGAGTATGGTTTTCCTCCCCCCGCCTAGTCTTGTCCTGCCGCCGCGCCAGCCCCAAATAACACACAGAGACTCTGTATTTGATATAATGTGGTTGGCCCATTATTTGTTTCTTATAGGCTAGCTCTGTCTTAAGTATTAACCAATT